AAAAAGTTAGCAGAAGCTAACGCTAAACTGCTAAACATGTTAAAAAAAGTTAGCAGAAGTTAATGCTAAACTGCTAAAAATGTTTGAAAAGTTAGCAGACGCTAACGCTGAACTGCTAAACATGTTAAAAAAGTTAGCAGAAGTTAACGCTAAACTGCTAAACATGTTTAAAAAAGTTAGCGTTCGCTAACGCTAAACTGTTAAAAATGTTAAAAAAAGTTAGCAGAAGCTAACGCTAAACTGCTAAACATGTTAAAAAAAGTTAGCAGAAGTTAACGCTGATCTGCTAAACATGTTAAAAAGTTAGCAGAAGCTAATGCTGAACTGCTAAACATGTTAAAAAAGTTAGCAGAAACTAACGCTGAACTGCTAAACATGTTAAAAAAGTTAGCAGAAGCTAACGCTGAACTGCTAAACATGTTAAAAAAGTTAGCAGAAGCTAAAGCTAAACTGCTAAACATGTAAAAAAGTTAGCAGAAGCTAACGCTAAACTGCTAAACATGTAAAAAAGTTAGCAGAAGCTAACGCTAAACTGCTAAACATGTTAAAAAAGTTAGCAGAAGTTAATGCTGATCTGCTAAACATGTTAAAAAGTTAGCAGAAGCTAACGCTGAACTGCTAAACATGTTAAAATAGTTAGCAGAAGCTAACGCTAAACTGCTAAACATGTTAAAAAAGTTAGCAGAAGTTAACGCTGATCTGCTAAACATGTTAAAAAAGTTAGCAGAAGCTAACGCTGAACTGCTAAACATGTTAAAAAAGTTAGCAGAAGCTAACGCTAAACTGCTAAACATGTTAAAAAGTTAGCAGAAGCTAACGCTAAACTGCTAAACATGTTAAAAAAGTTAGCAGAAGCTAACGCTAAACTGCTAAACATGTTAAAAAAGTTAGCAGAAGCTAACGCTAAACATGTAAAAAAGTTAGCAGAAGCTAACGCTGAACTGCTAAACATGTTAAAAAAGTTAGCAGAAGCTAAAGCTAAACTGCTAAACATGTAAAAAGTTAGCAGAAGCTAACGCTAAACTGCTAAACATGTTAAAAAAGTTAGCAGAAGCTAACGCTTAACTGCTAAACATGTAAAAAAGTTAGCAAAAGCTACCGCTGAACTCCTACACATGTTCACCAGCCTCGACTTCTCTGATGCAGCCATAGCCAAAATGGTTCAAAACATCAAAGTTCATGTTCAATAAAAAAATCCTACAAAGTTAAGTCTGTTCATCTGCTTGTGGGACAGTTTGTTTATGGCTCCTTGGACTGATGAAGTCCTTTGGATGAAGGGTGAAACGTCTCAACAAAAAAGAAACTGTCCAGGTGACCCAACTTAACTTTGTTAGACATGAACAAGCTTTTGAATTTTGTTAGCGAACTTAAAATTGGTGAAACCTAATTTAAAGCTAGCTCAAAGCTAAATCTAAAAACGGTTTCCAAAGTTAGTGAAAACACAAATCCGCTAAACAAAAAACTTGTTCTGCTATTAGCTGTTTGCAGATTCACGGAGCGGTACCCACCACTGTTCAATACATAACACGAGTAAATGTAAGTTGCTTCCCTCCACGAGTGAGTCTCTTCTCAGCCCAACATAAAATGATGTCTACGCAGAAATATTCACAATGCTAAATAAAGTTGTGGGTGTAAAAAGGTTTTTGGAACCAACGCACCGAGGAGTGATTGTTTGTGTGAAGACGGTTTTCAGAGCAGCACACATCCACAGACCATCAGAGACTGGTCAGATATGAAGATAGAAGTGAAGTGAACGACAGCTATTGATGCTTCTCATCCAGTAATGTTAGACACCGTACAGTTTACACAGGATTATTTTAAATAAAACAATAAGCTAACTGAAGGGCACTGCTCTGCTGGCGGCACACTTCTAAGGCTAAAGCATTTCCAGCTTTACATTTGAGTTTAATAACTTGATTTCTGCAAACACACAGGCAGTCAGGGGTAAAATTTAAAGGCTTGCTTATTAAATACTCGATGTCAGGAAACGTGTTGCTGTGCATCTGATGAGCGCTTTAGCTGTAGGGGAATTGATCTATCTGGGCAGCATAAAAATGAGTCCATCCTGTTCAAGATGGCACGGCATGGCACAGTTCCTTCTACTTCCCGTCTCTAATGGGCCCAGTTCAGCTCAGGGTTAAGAAAGAATGACTGACCATTCTCACTAAGGGTCAAAAGTTTGTGTGTTTTCACGCTCCCTTTCACGCAACCATTACTTTTTTTACATCCAGATGTGTTCATGGAACATATGCTACTATAGTGCTGATGCAGCATCATACATGAGGCCCCAGGTGTTTTACTTCAACAGTATAATACCATTCACTGACAGTATTACTCCCAGAAAAGTTGGGTAATGAGACAAATGTCTGACAACAATTGACAGTTTATCACATCTTTTCCTCTTAGTTAGACATTAGTGGCACTTTGGTCACATTTCAGCTCTAACAAAGACGACCGTCATATGTTGCCTTCTGTGGGAACAGTATTCATCGTTTGTTGTGCGGTTACAGCATGCTGGTTTCTGTCTGCAGGATGGACTGGGCTCGGACGTTTCTGTGAAATTGTGTTGAGGTTTTGGCTCCGTTTGGGTTCACTGACATGGTGTGAAGCCTGCAATCACAGCGCTTCAGAGTTAAACTCCTCCAAGTCCTCCTCAGCTCACTCTGAACCTTAAAGTGCAGAAAGAAAGAAACGTTTTGTCAGATTTATGATCCAGTCATTAATAAAATACTGCTTTGATCAGAAACGCTCACCTCACTGTTGAGGAAACAGTAAAGAACAGCCACAATCAGACCCTGGAAGACAAACCTTAAGCTTTAACACAGTCCCAAGTGGATTATTTTAATCTTAAATGAAGTTTAATTTAGAACCATCTAATGTGAAAAAAAAACGATGACACGTTTTTCCACTTTTCTTCTTAGCAAAACAAATAAAAATCAATGTTGTGTATTTATAACAATTATGTGTGAGTCCTGCCACACCTCACCTGGAAGGATCCGAGCCCGAGGTCAAAGAAGATCTTGACTTGCTTCAAGGTTTTCTCCGCCGGCTCCATCAGGTAGAAAAACACCACGTAGTTCACCCCAAACAAAGGGATCAGCAGGAGGGTGGATTTCGCCAGCCGCCTGAAGTTTAAACACAAAATATTACACAAGGAATAATCTAAGGCCCAAATTAATCTGTTCAAAACCATTTTAATTTGTTTTAAATAATTTTTCTTCTTTTTTGTGTCAAGATTGGTAAAAATGTATCTGCTTCAATGCCTCTTTCCTGCGGGATCCTACAGGGCTCGGTTCTTGGACCCCTTCTGTTTTCACTCTATCTACTCCCCCTGGGGTCGATCCTGAGGAAACATGGTCTTTCATTTCATTGTTATGCTGATGATTGTCAGATTTATCTGCCCTTAAAACCTAACAGTTCTTGCTCCATTCACCCTCTGGGTTAACGCGTCTTGATGACATCAAGGCACGGATGGCTTCAAATATTTTAAGTTTTAATGATCAGAAAACGGAAGTTATTGTGCTTAGCCCTAGCTCAACTGCCGTCTCTGATCCTGTCAACCTGGAATCCCTTCAGCCTTAACAGAAGCAGTCTGTTACTGTTCTCGGGGTGATTTTAGACTCTGACTTCAAGTTTAATAAACAAATCAACTCTGTTCTTCAACAAAGCTTCTTCCAGTGAAGGCAGATAGCTTAAGCCAGTGTTGTCCAGATCTGACCTTGAAAAACTAGTCCATGCCTTTATCACCACCCGAATGGACTACTGTAATGCACTCTATGTTGGGGTCAGCCAGGTCACCGTCTCGCGTCTCCTTCTCGTCCAGAATGCTGCTGCTCGGCTCTTAACCGGAACTCGTAGGTCTGAACATATTACACCAGTTCTGTCCTCCCTTCACTGGCTCCCTGTGCGTACTAGAATAGACTTTAACATTCTTCTGTTGACCTTTAAATGCCTAAATGGCCTCACGCCCTCTTATCTCTCTGAGC